TGGATTTCCTTCGGAGGATCTAGAGATGAGTGCATCCTCGTTTCGCTTGACGAAATTCGGATGATGGTTCGCTTTGATCTTTGTTTTACTTTCATGACGTTGGGCCCGGTTCCCAGCATGTGTAGTTCGGTGTCTCTTCAAGTGATCATGATGTAAAGGGACGCTGGACCCATTTTCCAGCAGGTGCAGCTCCCCACCAATGGAACGGAGCCATCGCGCGAGCAGGGAGATTAGAGGGGGTGTCTGCTCTTATCAGCATTCCCTCTTTTCCCTAGCAAGGATGTTAAAAAAAAAAAAAAAAAAAAATAATTAAAAAAAATGGATGTTTTCTGAAGCAGGTTGTAGGAGTCCCTATGGGTAAGTCCTCTAGCTGCTCCATTGCTTGCATCCTCTGTTCTTATGCGGAATTCAGGTTTTTGAAGACTCTGGGAATAGACAGGCGTCTGGTTCGTGGATTCCGCATCGTCGACGATGTGACCATTTTTGTTGCTGTTGCAGGTGTGCAGGGTGCTAGAAAGGCGCTAGAGATTTTGGATTCGTTTACGTCCTGCTATGGTAATGTTCTGAGATTGGTTAGGATGGATGATGAGCAGGGGAAGTGGATCTTTGCTGGGGTGATGTTTCACAAGTACGGTACATCTTTACGGACTGTGGCCATCGTTAAAAATGCTGTTAGCCTTTGGGAATCTGGGCAGTTGGTGTATGGTGATTTCCAGGATTTTGAATCGTATTCTAGGAAAAAGGCTAAGTCGGGAGCTATCCTTAGTACGCTGCATCGGATCTTCCGGCTTTCCTCGGATGTTTGGGGGAAGCATGAGTCTCTCCTGGCAGTCAAGAGAGAACTCTTGGTTAGGCATTATCTACCCAGGTCGATCTCTGAAGTCTTCACTCAGTTCGCTTCTAAAATCGGGGGATCTGCTCCTGATATAGTGGCTTTGTGTCTCTGATTTGGGGCTTGGCTTTTTGCCAAGCAGGCCTCATGGCCCGATGAGGAGAATGGGTTTGATCTAATCATTCCCCGTTGTTCCAAAGGTGTGCCTTGGTGCTTGTGGTTCTTGGTGAAAACTTTACCGATTGGCTTTCAAGATTGTGGTCCCGGCGGGAGATAGTAGGAACACTTTGTGACCGTTTAATGTATCTGGCCGCTTTCATACGATAGGTCCTTTTCTTTCTTTTTTTGCTTAGGTACCCTGCGAACCATTGGGGACCTTTAGCGGTACGGACTCGGTCTTCATGTTTTTGGTATGTGCCATGTACCTGGCAGGTTTTCTCTTTTCTCTTTCTCTTCCTATAGGGTGCATGTTTGTAGTCCGAATATCGGCTTGGTACGGTTTTGCCTACTAACAGCGACGGTTTCAAGGAACTTTGGGGATCCAGGGTGTGGTCCAGAGGGCATTTCCGGTAGTACCCTTGCATTCTGAATGTTTCTAGTTAGCTTTCTGACCGGGTACCTGGTTGATGTTGTGTATGTCTGATACCGGGTGCTCGGAGCTTCGCCCACGGTCATTTAAGGAGAGCTGAGCTCTGTTATGATCTCTCACTTGTGTACTATCACGAATGTGTGAAGACGGTTGGGTTGTGTGTTGGCTGCGGCACTGGCTGAGGGCAGCGAGGGCAGACTGAGAGCACCACTGGTGTTGTACGCGGGCTTGCACGATCTCGGCGCTGTGCTGTGCGTCAAAAAATCCTTGTGCCACTGCTCGAATGTCTGTTTTGATGATGCATCACTCTTCTTCAGTATCGATACTACGCTTGGGTGAGCTGAGGGTTTCGTTGGGCTTTGATCGATTTGCCTCTGCTGGCATGATGGAGTAGGGGTATGTCTCTATGGATCGCTGGCGGGAGTTCTGGTGTAAGCATACTCGGGAGGTGAAGGTAGGAGTAGGATAGCAGTATAAATACGAGGCANGATCGCTGGCGGGAGTTCTGGTGTAAGCATACTCGGGAGGTGAAGGTAGGAGTAGGATAGCAGTATAAATACGAGGCAAGGCTTTGGTAAGGCCTTGTGCTTTCTAGTGGATGGAAGGCATAGTTGGAGGGTGTACTCTGAGGGCTGAATCCCCCTGAAGAGTCTACAGGCGGCGTAGACGAAATGCGTCGGGGAATGACCGCGTTTATGATTCTGTATTTCCACTTCATTTTCGTTGATTCGGAGATTTCACTGTGTATGCTTTCTCTTGTTGAGATGGTGTATGGTTTCAACTTTTGGCGTGCGTAACGGTGTGAGGAAACCCGGGGAGGGGTCACCTGCTGTTCACTGAAGCCATGGGCAACAACGCCTGTCACTCGCTGCGCCCGCTTCATAGGTCCTCAGCGATCGGCAGGGACTCGGGGATTGCATTGCCTGTCATGCCCCCACTTTAGAGCCTGCATTTGAACTCACTCGTCAATATCAGAAATAAATCGAATAAAAAAATAAAATTAATAAAAATAAAATTAAAAATTAAAATTAAATACAGTCTGATTGGTGACCGCTGCTCCTTCACGCTATGATTGATGTGTCATAGCATTGCTACCGAATTTAAACAGTGGGTTTGTATAAAATATTAGTTGACTGAATAGACTGTAGCTTATACACTTAGCGATTATCGAGAGTCCACACCACACTCACCATTCAAATCCACTCGCCCGAGCAATGATCAACAAGATCCCGGTTCCACAACGGGCGATATGAAATTGACTCAGCAATGATCTGCGAGTATTGGTTGGCCAAAGGACACAGTGTGTCTTTGCCTATGAGCAACTAACGTCTGGTTTTCTAATGAGCATCTGATGTCTGATTCTCCAATGAGCAGCGTGCGTCCGCCCCCTCTATGAGTGGACGTTGTCTGATTCGTTGATGAGCAGCGTGTGTCTGCCCCCTTGATGAGTAGGGGTTGTTTGATCTGTAGATGAGCAGCGTGTGTTTGCCTCCTTGATGAGTAGGGGGTGTCTGATCTGTAGATGAGCAGCGTGTGCCTGCCCCCTTGATGAGTAGGGGGTGTCTGATCTGTTGATGACCAGCGTGTGTCTGCCCCCTTGATGAGTGGGGGTGTCTGATCTGTTGATGAGCAGCGCGTATCTGCCCCCTTGATGAGTAGGGGATGTCTAATCTGTAGATGAGCAGCGTGTGTCTGCCCCCTTGATGAGTAGGGG